TGATCTTAAGGTCCCTTGACTGTCACTTTGACAAATTCAAGTCTACTGAATACTAACTGTATGTCCCTCTTGACTTAGTGCTGGGGATGAGGAAGGTGCTCTCTTCCTCTCTTGGGACTACCATCAAGTGAGGAAGCCAGCTTGTGTGGCTCTATTACTTGTTGCTCCTTGACTTGTAGACTGTGGGTTTCTCCTGAGGCCGAGGGTCCCAAGGATGCTGCAAAATGCAAAGGAGCTATGTGTCCACTAGTTTTATGTCAAGTTGACATAAACTAGAGTCATTTGGGAAGAAGAAACCTCAATTGGGAAAATGCCCCCATCAGACTGACCTGTGGGCAATCCTGTGGTGTGTTTTCTTACTTAGTGTCTGATATAGGAGGGCCAGTCCACTGTAGGTACTTACTTCACCCATGGCAGGTGGAGTGAGACTTGGGGAACAAGTTGGTAAGCAGCCCTCCTCCATGGCTTCTGCTCTAGTTCCTGCCTCCAGGCTCCTGCCTGAGCTCCTGCCCTGACTTCCTTAGATGATGGGCTGTGATGCTGAAGTGGAAGTGAACCCTGTCTTCCCTAAGTTGCTTTTGGGCATGGTGTTTGACCAACAGAAATCCCAACTAAGACAAGCTAGATCCTTCCATTGAGAAGAAATTAGGCATGAGGAGGTCAGGGGACTTGCAGGGCTCTGAACCAGCCATCCTCCCAACGTTTTCACTTACTGGGTAATTAGGCCTTCTCAGGACATGTGGGGCCAGTCCTCAGACAGGGAAAAGGGCTTAAAGGGTATAAGCATGGCCACCTTTCCTATCGAGGGAACTCAGCTTCCTTCACTTCTTTCAGCACCATGGACCAAGAGTCTTCATTTACAGAGGGCCTATGGAACCTCCCTTCTCTTCTGGAAGATGCCTAGAGCTCCCACATCTAGGAGCAGTGTAGCATCACAACAGCTGCTCACAGCTATTGCTACCTCCTGGCTCCCTACTTACCTGCAGGTGGTGGCTTTTGTGACAGGCATCATCGTCAGGCCATCGTGTTTTGAAGGGTAATGATGAGGGTGGCTGATAATGATGATAATGACATAGTCGTTACCTAAGTCCTACACACACTGTCTTGCCATCATCCAACTACTCCTCCACTTTGCTGTTCCAGATACCACACTTGTTATGCACCAATAGGTCTCTCTCTCTTCCTCTCTCCTTAGAGTATTGCTTTCTATCCAAGGCTTGTGTTGAACTCACAGTCCTACCCCAACTTCCTGAGTTCTGGGATTATAGGCATGCATAGTCATGCTTAGTCCTTCTCCCATCTCAGGACCTGCTTTTTCTTCATGACTGACACCTGAGGATGGTCCCAACTTCACGTTGGAGGCTTGAATCTGACTGTCTTTTAGACTGTCCTGGGTGGTTTACTAAAAACTCCCATACTCCAGAGGTTCTGCCTATACCCGCCTGGGGCAAGGCTTAGTGTTTTAAAACCTCTACTGTGGCCAGGTGTGGAGGCACATGCCTTTAATCCCAGCACTTGGGAGGCAGAGGCAGGCGGATCTTTGAGGCCAGCCTGGTCTACAAAGTGAGTTCCAGGATAGCCAGGGCTACACAGAAAAACCCTGTGTCAACAACAAAACAAGGGCCTGGAGAGATGGCTCAGAGGTTAAGAGCACTGATTGTTTTTCCAGAGGTCCTGAGTTCAATTCCCAGCAACCACGTGGTGGCTCACAACCATCTGTAATGAAATCTGGTGCCCTCTTCTGACCTGCTGGCATACATGAAGACAGAACACTGTAAGCAAAATAAATAAATAAATCTTAAAACAAAACCAAACCGAACAACTGTGATGGCTAATCTTGACTGTCAACTATGGAAAGAAAAGTCTGTGAGGGATTATTTAGATTAGGTTAATTGAGCTGGGAGGATCCATCCTATATGTGAGCAGCACTATTCCCTGGGCTCTGGTGGCCAACTGAAGGAAAGAAGAGAACCGAACATAAACGCTCACTCCTCTCTACTGTGGCCCCTCCTGATGTCAGGACTTCTTCACCCAGACAAAACACATTGTCAAAGACTGAGTAAGCAGGATCCGAATAAACCCTTTCTTCTTTAAGTCGCTTTGGTCAGCTATTTTGTCATAGCAACAAGACAAGTAATTAACACGTTGGGTGATTCTGGATTAAGTACTCTGTGCTCAGGGACACTTTCGATGTTCACAGATGGTTGTGTTGTCTCTCAAGGCAGATTATGCTAGTCTGAGCCTGGAGTCCAGGGTAAACTGAATATGATGAGGCCAGAGGTGTGAAGTGTGTGTGTGTGTGTATGTCTGTACCTGGGGAGGAGTGGTTGTCAGAGGGAGAAAAAGAGGGGACAATGCCTCTGACCGTCATCTAAGAGTTGGCGGCACAGATGAGGAGTGATACAGCAGTCTCCAGAAGACCAGGACTTGGTGGTCATCATCAAGCACATCAACCAGGTGGAGAGAATAGGGCTTGAAGACCTCAGAGGTCAGCGTCAAGGTCAAGCCTGAAGACTGCTTCCTGGAAGCTGTTGGACGCGGAGGCAGGTACCGAGGTGTTTCCAGAAGCAGGGTCCAACCAGCGCTTATTCCAGCCATCAGAAACCTTCCTCCCTCCACTGTGCCACCATCCATGTCCCTGTCATTGTTTTAAACCAGCTGTTGGCATCTTTCCAAGGAAGTCTTCCTCAATGAGTCTAATACGACTGGCAGCTCTACTTGGTGTTCAACGTAGCCCCTGCATGCCTTCCTTATGCTCCGCTGGGGGCTGGTATTCATTTTTCGGTAACGGAAATTTGTTCTAGATCTGTTTTCCTGCCCCCTCAGTCTCTTGACACCCCACTTCCCACTCTCAGAGATGGCCCTGCTCAGCATGAGCAAGCTCAGAATACATTTCCTGGGGTGTGGCTGGGTTCCTAGCTTCCACTCTAGACTTCAGATCTCCGCATACAGAGTGAGGGGGTTGGACTGGCATGATCACTTTGGAACAAACAATGTCTAAAGTCTGCGAGTACTTGTGACCCACCAATATCTGCAGAACCCCTATGTATTCTTCAAGGTCAAGGCAGAAGGTCACGTCACCCCCTTGCAAACAAAGCTAGCAATACTCGTCCTGTGCTGCTACAGCTTTGCTCTGCTAGAGCCCTTGGTCAGGAGGCCAATGTCTAATTTGGAATCTATTGTCCTTGGTGTTCTGAATTCTCAGAGAGGCCATAATCACAGACTAGCACAGTGGTCTGGCCTCCAGTGACCCAAACTGTGTCCTAGGTGAAAGAATATGTGACCGAATATATGAACCCTGGACATCGAGTTTATTCCCTTAGTCACTTGCAGCAAGAGATTTGCTCGAAGAATGGTACCAGCTGGGAGTAGCCAATGGTGGCATGCAGTGGGAAGATGACCCTACTAGGGCAGGGAGTGTTTCAGGCTACCCAGCCTTGGGTTCTCTACTCTGGCCAAGGGTTTTGGGTTTGGACAGAAGGAGGAGCCATGGCCTAACTAGCAGGAATTTTCTCCTAAGCCTAACTCAACTAGGAAGTGAGAGTGGATGCTAGCTAGTATCCTCAAAGTTGGGTATCCAGCCTCAGGCTTAGGGAAAGTGTGGGTCTGGCTTCTTCAGCGCAAAGCTCCGCCCACAGAGGCTGTGCCTGAGACTAATTGGCTTGCCCTCCTTCCTCGAAGCTGGAGAAAGTCTTGGCTAATTTGCCGGAACGCTCTAGTTAAATGCCAATTAGGATGTTCTGTCCACTGCTCTCTTCCAATATATTAATAATGTAATTAAGCATTTATTGCTCGCACAAATTAAAAATTAACTTAAACAGACAGCCTGAAAAACTGAGGAAATAACCGCTTAGACAACCAATTTGCATCTCATTCGAATATCAACATCTAAACACAGCTCTGTCTGTCCTGGGTGCCTTGGTTTGGCCTTCCAGTGAGGGACTCAGCCAGCTGCCAACAGCTGCGGGCTCCTCTTCCATGCTGGATTCTGCCTTTCTTAGGGGATCTAATCTTAGGTGTGGAGGAGGTGGCCTTGTTCCCACGTGGACCTGAGGACTTGCTGAGCAGCTGCCTGGGCTTCTATGGTTCCTGCCGAGGCTCCATGGTGTAGATCTCGGTAAAAAGAGATGCCACCAGGGGTGAGCAGGAGGGGGCAGTCCCTGAAGCCCCCTGTCCTCCCACCCTCAGGGGCGATTTGTCCTGCATTCCAGCCCAGGAGATGGGAAGCAGATGTTGCTGGCATGGGGAGGAGGAGAGAAGGGAGGAACAAGAAGAGCTCCCCCAACCATCCCCCTGGGAGGGAAGGGTTAAGGCTGGGACCAGGGAGAGTTGTTGGGGGACAGGGCGGCTACCTCCTCAGAATAGAAGAGGGAAGGATAGAGTCGCCCCCCACCCCGCCCATCTCCAGGGATCTGTCTAACAGCAGGTGCTCTACTGCGTGTTTTCTTCTCCTCAGAGCCACAGGGGACCCGGCAGGGAGGAACAGGATTCGAAGGAACTGGGCAAGAGGGGACCAGCCTGGGAGAGAGGTGGTGACTGAGGCAACAGCTCTGGAACAGCGGCTGCCTGTGGCTCGAGCCAGAGCACACCGTCCCCAGCTGTGTCCTTCTGTCATCCCTTTCCTGACCCCCACCCCACCCCACCCCCACATGCCTTGGCCCTGCCCAGCAGACGCCAACCATCCCCCCTGTGCCCTACTGCCGTGCCTGGCTCATATCTCCTCACTGCAGGATGGTGCCATTGCAGCCTACCGGTGCTCAACCAGAGATGCTGGCAAGGTGGCTGGTGGGGCACCTCAATGAGTCCGTCCTAGGCCCAGTTGTTCCGGTTATCTATAGTGTTCCTGCATCCTCTCTGCTGTCCCGCTGTCTTCTCTAGCTTTGCCCAAACCCCACTTCAGTGAAGGATGCTAATGGACTTGTTTTTAAACACTTTATTTATAAAAAAGTACATTTTTCTCAGTACATTTTTCAACCCATCTTTTTTTTTTTTAATACAAGTAAAAGGGGGTGGGACACCCCCCCTCCCCAGGTCAGAACCAGGAGAATTTGCTGGGCTGTCCCCCAGGACCAAAGAGGAAAATGGTGACAAAGAAATTGAAGCAAAGGAAGCTGGCCACACTCAGCGGTAAGGGTGGCAGCTTCTCCTGGATTTAGTTTCCATTGGTTAACATAAAAACAAAACTCACCACCCCGACCCCCGAAGCCCGTTCCTCACAGCCAGGGTCAGAAAGCAGCATTGGTGAGACTGGATTTCTTACCTCTGGGTGTCTCTGGCCCAGGCCAGCTTGAGCCACCTGCCCTCACTAGGAGAGGGTGTTTCAGTTGGCAGTCAGGCTTGGGGAAGTCTCTACCTGGACCCCCAGAGGCCTGGGAGCACCCCCCTCCTCCCAGTAAAGGGAATGCGGTATCTGCTGGGCTCAGGGCGGCCCCACCCACCTGACGTGAGCCCTGACTCTCCCACCTCAAGGGCAGCAGAAAAGTTATTGCACCAGTGACTGGGGCACAGAGGGATGGCTGGCAGAGGGGGCACCTTCCCAGGGCTTGAGTCCCCGTCCACTGTCTCGGGCCTGAGCATTCGTAAGGGCTTCTCATTCCTCATGTGTGTACTTGTGCACACACATGCCTGTGCTTGGTCTGTGAAAGGCGTGTGCCAGTGTGCTGGGCATGTGTTCACGGATGTGTGCTGCTGTTCTTTTTAGGGCCTTCTGGTAAATGAGACTCAGAACAATATCAACATCTGCAGGGAAACAGGAGTCCAGGGGCGGCAGAGGGAGGGCAATGAGAGAGGACAGCTGGAGAGGCCTTGGCACAGTTAACACACCGAGTTTATTCTCTGTGCAGCAAGGCAGATGCTCAGCTTGGGCTGGGGCCACGAAGGTGACGCAGAATGCCCTCTGCTCTGCTGCACTGGGCCTTCCACGGTCAGCGGGATGTCGCCACTGTCCCACAACACAGTGCCAAGAAAGCCCCTGCTCCTTAGGCCCAGCGACTGACGCCTGCCTCATTTCCTGTCTTAACCCAGGTAGCAGCTGCCTGGTAGCAGCACCACAGCTGGGATCCTGGATCCTGCTGCAGAGACCCCGTAAATTGTGCTTTGCTTGGGGGAAAGGCGTGCAGGTGTCTTAAGGGGAGCTTGGGTGCTTTGTCCGGGCCCAGGGCCTCCTCAGTCCGTCATGAGATAAGGAATAAGGGGGTGACAGTGGAAGGTTCGAGAGGTGCAGGAGGGTAAGTCTTTTCAGTCTATGGTTCCATAGGGGCAGAAATGCCTCTGTGGGGCAGTCAAGGTTCTGCCTCCTGCCTTGGGAGTAAGGGGAACAAGCAGAGGGGCTAGAATTGGCATGAGGAGGAGAGAGAGGTGCTTGTGACAAGGGAGGGTCACTAATACTGCTGGGAGAAGCAGCCCAGCTCCTCCATCTTCCTCTGCCCTGTGGCTAGAAAGGCCCTAGAAGTTTCTTTCCCGAACTCCACCCCATCCAGTGTCCCCAATGCCAAGAGGGGAGAGCCACCACAGGGCTGGCATGGCTTCAGACTTCTGCTACGTGGCTACTGGGCGGCCTGGGCTGGGACTAGGGCAGTGAAGGCCTGGCGAAATGGCCCCAGCTGGTGGGCTGAGGGGTGCCAGAGATGGCGCTTGGACTGGGAATTCAATAGCAGCACCAGGGAAGGGGGTGGGGCGAGGGTTGGGGCTCCCTTAAGAAGCCTATGGCAGGGTGGGTCAGTGCCCGTGGGGCACAGAGTGCTCTGCCTCCCTCTCCCCAACACCTGCTACCCCTCAGAGTGTCCCCTTTGGGCTGAGTTAGTTGAAACCCCAGCAGGCAGGCCCTAGGGCTCTCGCAGCCCACTTTGCCTACCCCAGGGCATAGGCATGCCCATTTAGAATGTGGGGAATTTGGGGCACAGATGGAAAAACTGAGGCACTTTGAGCTTGGGGACAGTGAGCTGGGAGGGCCTTTCTCCATGCACTCAAGGGAGGGCCCTTCATCGTCCACCTCACCTCAGAATGGCACTGGTAGAAACTGAGCAGGAGTCAGACTGTAGACAAGCAGCAGGTTCCGGGGTGCTCCTGCACTTTCTTTGACACCCATGACATCTATGCTGGCCTTCCCGTATGAGACGTTAGCAGTCCCCTTCAGTCTACCAGATTGTGTTTGCGGAGCTTCCATGCGGACGCCCTCATCATATAAATACTTCTTTGCCTCAAATTCCTTCCTGGGATCCCAACCCCGACTTCCCAGAAGAGTCAAGTGTTGCTAGCACTTGACAGATAAAGAGAAATCCGAGAAACGTGTACACCGTTGGAAAGGTTGGAGCTACACTGAAATCTTAGAGCGGCAGCAGCTGGGTGGTTCATCCTCCCTGTCTCTGGATGCTTCTGTGGACTGATCCCTCCCTGAGCTGGGAAGGAGTAAGAGCCAGAGCAGAGGAGGGTGGGGCCTGGGGCAGTGTTTAGCCTGGGCAGGGCGTGAGAGCACTGGGGGAGACCCAGTGGTGTGTGTGCATGTGCTGGAGGAGGCATACAGGGACTGTGGGTAGAGTCCACCTGGGGTCACCCACTCTGTAGAGAACAGACTGGGAGCAAAGGAAAGCAGTATATGACAGTTATGCCAACCTCATTTTGTAGGCCAGCAGAACAGAGAAAGCATAGAGCCACTCTTGCCAGGAAAACACACTGCCCAGGACCCCAGTTGGAACCTCAGCTCCATCATTTCACAGACAAGACTCCCCTGGATACCACTGAGAACCCCTTATAACCTTCTAGGTGCCCTGGCTGCATCACCAGTTTAGAGTGGGGGGCACTGGGCAAAGGAGCAGCATACGGGGTGAGGTGAGGGTGCTCTTCATCTTGAAGCCCCCTCTGCCCTCTCTCCCCAGAGAAGAGAACACAAACAATTCCAGTGTTGGGGGGGTGGGAGAGGACTGGCTCCCCAAACCCTGGAGGGACGCCCAAGTACACAAGACAAGAACAGGGCTCCCAACACAGAGGGCAGTGGATAGGGTCCTTAAAGGAAAAATACAGCAACACCAAAGTCACAGTCGAACACAACACCGTGGGGAAGGGTGGGAGAGGGCGGAAATAAAAAAACGAAGCCAAGTGGGGTCTGCCCTGAGCTCCCCTGGCTCCCCAGGAGTTTGGGGCTGGTTTAGGGCAGCTGGTCAAGTCTCTGTTGAGCTCCTGGGGCAGTGGGCTGTGGGGTGGGCAGGGGGCGTGCGGGTAGGAGCCAGGGAGAAGTGGGCACAGACAGAGGCTCCGGAAGGTGGGCTACACATACCACTCCTTCTTGGAAATGAAAGACCCATCGTTCTGAGAAACCATGTTCTCAGCCAAGTCCAGTTGTTCAGGGTCGTACTGGTAGCCCAGAGTCCGGTCCCCATAGCCGTCCTGACGGGCCTCCGCTTCATCCACAGTGAAGTAGGGCCGTTTGGCGTCCTCGTCATATTTGGGGTGGGGTCCGCCCACCTTGCGTTCGCCCCCTCCACCGCCCTCCTCCTCTTCTTCCTCCTCATAGCTGCTCCCGCCCAGTGGGCCGGCCTTCTTTTCGTCATCTGAGTCATCAGGGTACTGCAGGTTCTGTGCCATGGGTGGGTGATGCTGGGGGATTCCTGCCTTGCTGTAGCCATTGCCGTAGACGTGCTTCTTGGTGCTGTAGTCACCCTTGAAGGTGTGCCGGCGCCGGCGCAGGGCCACTATGATCCCTCCAACCACAATCAGCACCAGCAGGACACTTCCTGCCACGCCCCCGATGATGGCTGTGGGCACCTGCCCCGAACGCCGCCCATGTTCAGGAGACGGGGTGTAGGGGAACTCTGGGTGAGGAAAAGAGATGGAGGGGAGAGAGTCAGTGTCTGCTCTTCAGAAGTCAGTAGGGGGTGTAGGGAGGCAGGGGAGGGAAAGGCCCAGGATAGGATGTCCACACCCCATGTTTGAGCAGTTCTGATTCCAGAGGTTCCTAGCACCCCACCTCCTTGAGCTCACGTCAGCTGCAGCACTGGGTGCTAGAATAAGGCAGGCGAGAGAAGAAAGGCAGCTAAAGCATCCAGAGCACCCAGCCTTCTATCCTGACCATCCCTGGAGGTAGTGCCAGTCCTGTTCCATCCCGTCATGGTGCAGGGGCACATCTGCACGTACCCAGCTGTGTGCCCCTCACAGCCACCACCCTCCAAGGGCGGTCCTGCTATTCGTTTCTATTCAGTGCAGGAGGCAGTTAGGGAGGTTAACTTACCCAAGGGCACTTAGCCAATGAGATATAGTATTGCTGCCTTTTTGGTTGTTTTTAAAAATAAACCCTGTGCACATGTCACCAGTGTCCGTCCCCTTTGCCTGACATGTAGACATCATTGTGCCAACACCAGGAGTCTAGTAGGTATTCCAGGACTGATTTCTTTTGCCTTCTGGGCATATAGAAAATAGGTATCCAACTTTTGGCTCAATAGATACCCTGTAAGTGCCAGTCATCTGCCAGTGTGCTACAAACCAGGGCTGCGACTCTTGGTAGTGGTCCTGCCCTGCAGAGCAAGGTGGAGATCTGTTGGGATTGCCAGGTTGGGCTATGGGGTTGAGACACCAAAGGGACAGACAGTTAGCACAAAGTAAGGACAGGCAGAACGGGGCTGTGGAGGCCCACATGTGTATTACAGACCCGGAACATACACATGTATGAGCATGTTTAATGGCCTACAGGCCGTGCCAGGCACAACACATGTGTGCACAAGGATATGCAGATAATGAGGACAGACTGAGCCAGGCATAACCACTCATACTTGTAATTTCAGGATCCGAGAAACTAAGGCAGGGGGACTGCTATAAGTTCAAGGCCAGTTTGGGCTATAGAATAAAACTATCTTCAAAAATAAAAAAAGAAAGAAAGAAAGAAAGGAAGGAAGGAAGGAAGAAAGAAAGGGAAAGAAAGAAAGAAAAAGGAAAGAAAAAAAAGGAAAAGTAAGGTCAATAATGTGGGCAGAGTAGAAATAAAGCTAATAAAGGTGGGGAAAGACTAAAAGAGTCTGGAAAGAGACGGCGGCGAGGTGGGTGACTTTGACAGCTCTGTGATCTTTTTCTCCTTTGTCTTCCAGGCCTGGGAGGTGGATGGGAGAAGGCTAAGTCAGGCCACACCAGGCCAGAGGCCAAGAGGTCCCAGGACAAGACACAGAGAGACGGTTCCCAGCACTACCACAGGGTGGCACCGGAGACCATGACTGGCCTTGGTAAGGCGCTGGGGTGTAGACTCAGGGCAAGCTGCTGTCCAGTCCTCTCTCCAGCCTGGCCCAGGAGGGCCAAGGCCAAGGTAGGATGCCTGTCTGGGCCCATGTGTCTGCTCCTGGGAGCCCGCTGCAGCTGGCTCACTCCCTAATTCAGCATCACTCACTCCATCGGAATCCTACTCCTCCCATGGGTCCCATGTGAGTGTGTGGGGTGCTGTTGGCTAGCAGGCAGGAGCAGGGCGGAGGTTCGGAATGGGGGAAAGGCTTTCCCGTGGCTCACGGGGGCCCCAAAGTGGGGGGGAACACTTGCCTGAGATCACATGGCTGAGTTGTGGCCACCCAGATGCTCCTGAGCCTGGAGCTGGTGGAGAGAGGCACAAGCCTGGGGGATTGGGTTCCCCGTTTGTCACCAGAGTGTCCTCAGTGTAGGTCACAGGGAGATGGTCTGTAAATGTTTACTGATATCTGTCTCGAACTGCCTATCCCTGCAACAGTCTCTGGGAGCAGTCTCAAGTTCTTCTTGGTTTCCTGGGTCCCATCTGCTTGCTCACTGCCCTTAGAAAGGAAGCACCTTACACATCTGTACTCTTAGCCTTCTCCGCTTCAGTTCTCAGATCTGATCCTCTGCATCTGCCTCCATGTCTTTCTTTGCTTGGTTGGTTTGGAACAAGGCCTCACTAGGCCAGGCTGGCTTTGAACTTGAGATCTTCCTGTCTCGGCTTTCTGAATGTTGAGGCTACAGGCTACCACCACTCCTGGCCCACCCTTACCTGTCTACTTCCTTATTCAGCTAGCAAATATACCCCAAATATCTTTCTCTCTAGTCACGACATTGCTATGGAACCAAATGACATGCTCGGAGTCTCAGCAGCAAGCAGGCATGGAGGGAACCGGCCGTAAAGTGCTCAGGAGTGTAGGAGAAAGAGAACATTGTGGCATGCACCCAGAAAAGGCTTCTTGGAAGCTGGACTTTGCCCTGTCTGGAAGGATGGTATGGTCTCAGAGAAGCCAAGATAGTAAGTGAGGTGTCCATAAAGAACTTCTGAACTGTGCCCCTAGCTTGCTGCGTCGAGATTCCCTGGGTCCTTGGCTTTCCCTCCTCAGTGTTCTGTAACCACGGGCACTCTTGGGCTTTCTCCAGCTGTCCTAGTGGAGACTTTGTCTTTGAACCTCTGTCCCACGCTGTCTTTGCTCATGACAGAGCTCACCTCCATTTCATGACTTAACTGTGATCCTCTGGTGTCCCAAGCCACTTCAAGTACACAGCTCTCACTCAGCTGCAGAACTGTATCTCTGAAGGTTTCTGGGATACAACTCCCAAACTGTACCCCATGAGACCTTGAGCCATTGACTCAGAGCTCAGCAAAAAACCAGTAGGATAAACGCTCTGAGAAACATTGGCTTCGATGACATACGGGAGCCCTTCGCCTTCTCCCACACCCTGGACTTTGAGAGAGATGCAGGGTGGAGTAATTCCCAGCTTCCTGGAGCCTGACACTATCTTCCCACACATAGGGCCATCCCAGGGAACAAACGTTTAGGGTTACAGAGTCGAGAAACTTCCGGAATCACCAACTCAAATCCCACCTGCTCCAACCAGGCTGTCTGTCCTCCTTCCTCATCCTCTCCGTCCACCGGTCCTCCACTGGGCTCTCACTGCCACTGGCATCTGTTATGCCAGTGTTCCTCTCTGGCTTTGGCTGTTTGTAGAAGATTCTCGGGACTCTCACCTTCACTGGGTCTCTACCCTCTTAGCTGTCCCACTCACAGTGAGCAGATTAATTTCCACTGTGTAGTCGTGGGTACTCTCTATCCCAACGACTGGCAGCAACTCCCGATTGCCTGCTGGGCCTTAGAACCTGGCCTCTTATCACACGGCTGTCCTCAGCAAAGGCCTGGGTGGTAAAGGCTTAGTTGCTAGTTCATGGCACTACTGGGAGGGGGTGGTACTATTAGAGCCTAGTGGGAGGAATTCCGATCATGGGGGGGGTGTCCTTGAAAGGGATATGGGGACCCTGTCCCTTGTCTGTTTGCTTGCTGGCTTCTCACAGTCTTTCCATGCTCTGTCTCACGATAGGCCCTAAAGCCTAGGTCAGACAACCATGGACCCATGAGCTGTAACTTTTGAAACTGTATGCTAGAATTAACTCACTGCTACCCCAAGGACCCCTACTCCACCCCCACCAAAACAAGTGTCTCACTATGCAGTCCTGTCTGTCCGGAAACTCACTGTGTAGACCAGACTGGCCTTGAACTCACAGAGATCTGCCTGCCTCTGCCTCCAGGAGTGCTGGAGTCAAAGGAGTATGAACTTTTCCCCTTTATAAATTTGTTATCTCAAGTATTTTGTGACAGTAACGAAAAGCTGATTAACACATTATGCTTGCTATCTAAGTGGGTTGTGTATGTATGTGTGTTGTGTGTGTGTGTGTGTGTGAGAGAGAGAGAGAGAGAGAGAGAGAGCGAGACAGAGAGAGAGAGAGAGATTTAACATAGAGCCTGGCATAAAGCCAGGCAAGTACTCTACGACCAGGCTATATTCTTAGTTCTCTTTTACTTCATATTTTGAGACAGAGTCTCACTAAGTTTCCCAGGCTGGCCTTGAACCTGTGATCCTCTGGCTTCAACTCCCCAAGTAGCTGAGATAACAGACTCAGCTTCAAGTGAGTCCCTATTCACAAACAAGCTTTGGCTTACACCACACACTCTGCCCACAATTTCAGATTCCAATTTATTAATTAAAAATTCGTTACTAATAAATGCAAATTAGGATTAGCCACAGTTGGTTCTGATTCTCCTTTCAGTAGGGATAAGAGAAGGGCCGAGGGAAGGAGCCGCTCATCCTCTGGGGCTGACTCACTGCAGCATGACCGCTCTGCATAACGTAAGTTCCACCGTGGTTACTTTCCTGCTTTCCCAGAAAAGAACCAATGAAAAATATCATGCTCTTACATTTAACTCAGCTAGATTGGATTTCCTGACCCCACTAATCACAGAATGACAGAGTTTGCTATATCATCTGTCTGATGAGAATGGTTGGTGCCCCAAACTACTCTGTAAATTATATTTTGAAATAAATCTAGAATCTAGCCAGTTCTCACCATTCCATCCCAACCACCCTCATCCAAGACACTACCATCTCTCACCTGGGCGATTTATAGCTATCGACACCTAACTGCTTCCACCTTCAGCTTCTAAGGACTAAATCTGATACAGCAGCCAGCAAGATCCCATCAATGTGCAAGTCACATTCCATTGCTACCCTGCCTAGAGCTGTTAATGACTGTTTTCCTCTCAAAGAATGCCCAAAGTCAGAGTCTAGAATGTTCTCCATGACCTGTGCCCTGCTCTACCTCTGACACCATCTTGTTCTGCGTTCCTGAAGGCTGAGGGCTCTTTGCCATAGACTGGAGCTTCATGCCATCACCTACCTCAGGGCTTGGCTTGAACATCACCTACTCATGAAAACTTTCCCCACCTACCATCTTTAAAAATGCAACGTACAAGTCCCTCATCTCCTGCACAGTGACCTTTCTTTAGCTGTTCTTTTCCATATATCACCCCCAGGACCCCATAAACTTCACAAAGATGGAGTCTGGTGTGTTTTGCTCATTGATTTATCCCAAATGCCTAGCTCACATGGCAATGAAATCTCTGTTAAGTTAAAGAACATACTCTTTCATGCCATGGCTCTGCCTTAAAAGTGAGGCTCACTCCAGGCGGCGGAAAGCATTCAGTCCACAGATAAGGTGGGCCTGGGACACACTGGGGACCTCATTTCATAGGAGTCGGGGTAGGAGGAGAGCAGTGGCTTAGGGACTGATTATACTTGGTTCTCTACCTCTGAGCTCCTCCGTCCAGGTCCTCTACTTTATTTTTCCTAAGCTCTAAGTTTACTGCTCCTGTGGGTCCTTTTGTGACCAAAGGGAATCCACGTTACTCTGACTACTTTGGTGTCGGTTCTGTGTAGAGCAGAGGAATGTCCATGATGCCAAAATAAACACATCAAATGAGTGAGGCCGAAGAAAGGTATGGCTAATTCATGTGCCAGCAGGAGAGGGACATCCTGCCCCTCTCCTCCACCCCTCCATTTGTCACACCCAGCAGTATCTGTCTCTATGTCAGAAGTAGAACCATAAGGGCCACAGCTGCGTCAAGAGGGAAGAACCGAGCACTGGGGTCATTGCTCTTGTTCTGGGGACCCAGCTGGTCCCTCTCACATCCTCTGACAAAGTGGCCCACCTGCCTCTGCTTCTGAGGGGTTGCAGGCTTCTGAGATGGACAGGACCTCAGAGCAGTGGAACCTCTCATTCTGGGTCTGTAGTTCCCAGACTAAGATGGGTGAGGGGCTTTGGATAGATCTGAGGTGAACTGGAGTTAGGGTTTATAGTCTGGAACTAAGTTCTAGGTTTAAAGAAAATGTCTGGGCTTGCTTCCACAACCAGTGTTGAATGTTTTAGCTGGCAGGAAATGACCTACAACAGATCAGGCCAGGAAGTTGCGAGAACTACGTTTCCCAGCATGCAATGAGATTAGCCACAGGGAGACTGGGAAGGCCTGGGGTCATACCCTGAGAAACCCTGTGGTCTTCCTAGAGCTGAAGCAGCTGTGTAGTTCCTCCATTGTCTGATGGAGCTCCTGCAAGTTGGAAGAGGAACTCCTGGAGGTACGGACTCAGCTGTATCCTCAACTCCCAAACATGTGCCATTTGCTGGCTTGGAGACAGGCATATTTGCCCTCAGCATAGCCCCAGGCTTCCATTTGCACACTCAGCAGGCAGACAGTGGTTTGCCTGCTCACACTGGCTTACACATGCTTACAGAAGAACACACCCACACTCATGTCTGGGCACGCACACTTGCAGAGACACTCCCTGTGAAGGCCCACCATCCTTGGTCCAAAGAACTGGCCTATCTGGCATGCCCACAGGACGAGCCCAAACTTCACCGAGAATAAGAGTTGAGACAGACACAATAAGCTGGAGAAGCTTCCCTGCCCCGCTCTTGGGAGTGGCAAGAGGCTAATCTGCCACTTTCCTAATACCCTTAGGGAGGAAAGCTATATCCTATTTGGTCAAGGCCATATCCTGGATCCCTCCCTACCCTTAGCCCTTGTGGAAGAAGGTTGGTCCTCTAGCTACTATGCTGTGGGATCCCTTACCCAGCACTCTAAAACTGCTTCTCAGTACAAGGCTTTGAACATGGGCTTCTTTGAGTGGCCAGACACTGTTAAATGCATCCACAAATTCTGCTAGGTTGTTTCTACAGCTTTCTTATCCTTTGACCAGCTTGGGCCTATCTCACACGAGGGGTCATTCACTGTGACAGTGACTGACTAGTCCTAGTGACACCATGCAGCAATCTGAACATAGCCCTGCTATGTTGCTTCATCATGGGCCGTCCTCCTTCCATCCCCACCCTCCATGTGTGCCCCCTGCCTACTCCACCCCAGCTGCTCTTTGTTCCACTCTCCAGATGTGCGCAGGGCAGTCAGAATGAAATATTAAATTCCCATTTATCCCTTTCACTCATGCATTGCCTTCAGACCAGTGGGGCTGGGAACACAGGGCCCAGATATGCTCCTTGGGGGCGGTCCCCAGAGATTGCAGAGGCTACTGGCTGATGTGGGGAAAATGGCGATGAGGTCGCCTGCCAGTTAAAGAATCAACAGCACTGGAAAGGTTTAAACATCTGGCTGAATCCTTCAAAAAGGTTGAAAGCTGCTCCCTGTGGGGCTGACCCACAGCTCCTGAGCCCATCAGGACAGCGAGGAGTGCCATGTTTTCTTGTCTCTTGGTTCCTGACTAATAGATTTGCTAGCAACAGAACTGGCATGGTATGACCCTTTTCCAGCTGGAGCTCTGGGATGCTTTAGACCACCTATCCTCGAACACACTCCAGATGTTATGTGCAGGTGAGCACACACCACCACCTAGATAGATTTGACCGCAGGTCCCACAGCAGGTACTGGGTGCCCACGGCAGCTTCCTCCCCATGGCTAGTCTCTTCTTCCTTCTCCTCCTCTCTGCTCCTACATCTGAGCCCAGAGGAGCAGCCCTTCCTCAAGACCATCACCTCTGCTCCTGGGCTTTTGGAGAAGGGAGGATGCACCCTCTTGCTGGATTCTGAGGCTGGGCATACTTGCCCTAGCAGGGTTTCTGGTTGGTCTTCTCATGCTGAGAAGCAACATCAATGAGAGGATGCTTCCAGGTTCTTTACTTCCACCAAATTTCCAATCAGCTTTTCCCCCAGAGTTCCTGGGTGGCAGAGTGGGATGCTGTGGTGGCTCTGGTGTTCGTGTTGGAGGGAGCGCTCCATGATCACATGGACAATGGGATGTAAGTTGGACTACCTCCACATTACAAACCGGGAAGCTGAGGTTCAAAGAGGTAAAGAACTTATTCAAGGCCACACAACCAAGAAGAATCCCTGTGCAGACACATTCCTGGACCTCAGGTAACACTGCTCATCACACTTGGTCTGGTGGCTCTTCACAGAAGGCAGCTGTGCATTTCCTCATCCAACCCCACAGCCTCAGGGCCAGAGCTCTGGACCCTATATATCTCCAACTTGTCCCAGAAGGGGGAAGGGCGGTACAGTCCACTTCTGCTGTCTGTCCCTGCCCTGGCAGGTGACCTTGGCTATCAGCAGGCTCCAACCCTGGCACCTCTACTCCTATAAACATTCTCAGTGTCAGGGACAGGGTGCTGAAGAAAATAGCAAGCGACCACACCCTCTCGTTCCAAGGTGACAAGACAGCCCCAAGGACAGGCCAGTGTGGTCCCTGGATAGCTCCATCTGCTCCCTGTGCAGATGTGTTTGGAATGTATTCACAGATGATGTCCTCAGGGCTCCCCCAAACCTGTGTCTAGCTAGACTATGTTACTGCCTAGTTTCCTGGAAGCCCAGGATCACTCTGTGCAAATTACATCCTGTCTCCTTTGGTGGCAGTGGCATGCCCCTTCCTGTTTTTTGGAGGTTCTTTGTGTCACTTTCTCACTCTGCAACCAGCTCAGGTTTGATACTAAAAACACTCCCCCTTTTGAAGTTTGGTGGCAATTTACTCCTTGGTGCATTTGTTTTGATGCTCCTATTAATGACAGTGATAATGATGGAGGTCGCGACAATAATAACAGAGCCTTGGACACTTACTGACAGACTGGGTTGTGCTCAGTTATGTGACCTGCATTATGTGTCATTGGACAGCAGCCCTTCCTTCAAGGCAGGTCACACTACCCCCATTTTACAGACGAGGCTCACTCAGGTCACATCCCAGGTGAAGTCTCTCTGTGGAGCATCACAGCCCTCATTTCCCCTGACTGATTGATTCACCCCTCCCGTAATGACAGAGGAAGATCTGGGAAAAGAGCAATTTGGTCTCCAGATGTAAGTATCCAATGCCTTCAGGGTGCTTGCTCACTGTAGCCTCTACTTTCCTGTCTGTGTGGTGTTCTGCTGTAGGCGAGCCTCGCCCTGCAGCCCTGCAGGCTTCCTCAACTCCAGCTGCAGAACTTGGGAGGATGTGAGCCCACCTGCAGACCTGTTCCACCAAGACAGCAGGACTCCCTGATGCAAGCGTTCAGCCATTTCTGAAAACAGCACTTCCTGCCCCCGAAGGTCACTCTGACTGCACCCTATAACCACCCCCATCATAACGCAAAGAGGAAAGTGTGAAGAAAGAACCATGGCCTGAGCTGCAGAGAAGCAAGGGGGGTACAAAGACACAAACTTCCCACCGGGTGCAAAGAAAGGAGCAGATGCGGCTATGAAAGAACCTGAGGATGGGGAGCGGAGGGGAGGCAAAGATTCCTACCTGTGATATTGACCTCCACCTGGCCTGAGCGGGTACCAATGGGGTTGGTGGCCTCACAGATGTAGGTTCCTGCCAGGCTGTAGCTGATGGGTCCTCGGAAGAAGAGGGTTCTGTTCTGGGCCTCCACACCCTTGGGGAGAGAGCCATTCAGCCTGTAGGTATTGGGAGACACAGGGAAGGGTTACGAACGACTCGTCAACTCCAAGAGTCACCCCTGGGGCATCCACTTGGTTCCAGTGCTATCCTCTCTACCAGCTCTTCTGCTGAGTATTAGGGACTGCTTGGAATGGAGAAAAAATAGGAACAACAATAGTGTCTTGCATTTCAGTTTTCTATTCCTCAGGAATTCATGGGTTTTGAGACAGGGTTTTGTTCCGTAGCCTAGGTAGGTTCTGAACTTGCAGCAATCCTGAATGGGCCTCCCTGGTGCTGGGATGACAGGGTTTGGGTCACTATGCTTGGCAGTTCATGTTTGAGCATCTTGCCACTGAGGCCTATTCAAGGCAGGTGGGTATTCCTCCCGCATTAACAGATGAAACCCGAGATTCAAGGCCAAGGGCACACAGCTGGGAAGCAGCCGAGCGGAGGCCAGCTGGATCTGCAGGCTTCAGGAGAGTGTTTGTTCTACTGCTCCTGGGGCTTCTCCTTGGTCCTTGTCTCCTTGGTAGTGGGTTGACAACAGAGACACCTGGGTCCTGACCCTAGTCCTCCTTCGGTGGGGCCACCGAGGCCAAGAGCATTGGGAGAAGCTATTCGGATGTGAAAGCAGGCATGGCTGAACTCCTACTGATCATCTTGCCATTACTGGACATGTCTCAAGATGTGTTCGTGTGGGGAACGTTCTAGGAGTTTGCCAAGTACAGAAAGCCTTTGTCCTTCCCTTGTTAGCTGTTCTTCAGTAAGGTCAACAACTGCTCTGGCTACAGGGCTCACTAACAAGCAGGTTCTGCCCACCCTCATCTTTTCAGAAGCAGTTTTGTGCCTAGAAATGCAGGCTGAGAGGGATGGCCTGCCAGGGTCCTCTACTTCCTGGAAAACGGTTTAGACTCACTTTTAGCTGCTGACTTCTGGCCATCCATGTCAACTTTCTTAGCTCCCCCCACACCCTGAGTCCCACCTAGGTTTCTGGAAACAATGGTGGTTTGAGATGTTTAAGTTGGCTAGGGGGGATAGATTCCCCTCTGAAGGTCAAGAACCAGACTGTAAAGTCAAGAATGGGATAGTGGGACATGGGCGTCCACTGCTGCTTCTACCCAGAGAACCTGGGGTTGTTGTACCGAAAGACTAGGAACAAAGGAAGACTGGGGTGTTCCAGAACACCAGCTTCCCAGGGGACACCTTGGAAAAAAAAATAAATAATGGGCACTGGGGTGGAATGATTCACCAAAGAAAAGTGACAAAATCTTTTATTAGTGAGTGAAGGGAAGCAGGTCAGGAGGGACACCCCCGCTGGCATGATTATTATTAGTCCCAAACCCTAGTACTCCTATGCAGAGGTGTGTGTACATAGTCTGTGTGCGTACATGGGATCTCTTAAATTAACCCCCACGGAAAAATCTGAGCCTAGACTCTAATCCTCCCTACTGTCTGGAGGTGTGAGGTCCAGCAAAGGGTGTTTTCAAGGGATGGGTCCGCCTACAGCACTCACGTGGTCCAGTGGTACTCGGTGGCTGGGGGGTTAGCATCTGCTTTGCATGTCAGCTTCACATCTGTCCGCTGCAGGTACCAGTTGCCATCAAAGCCCTCAATGGTCACCTCAGGTTCATCTGTGGGGCAAGCGAGGATGTTGGAAGAGGGTGAGGTCAGGGGAGCAGGCAGGGAAGGCATAGAAGGAACAGGTAAGGAAGGGAGACGGTGAGGACTCAGGAGCAGCTAGAAGGAAAGGCAAGTTGGCATTCCAAGACTCAGAGCCAAAGCAGCAGGGGGAAAGGTCAGAAGGAGGGGGCAGTGACAGAAAGAGAGGATGGGGAAATTGCATCATCTTGGAGGAGAAAGTCGTGGGGAGAGACTAGGGGACAGAAGAGGAGGGCAGACAGCAATGGGTGGGGAGGGGCCGGCCCTGGCTCACACTGCACATTGAGCGTGAGGCTCTCCCTGAAGCGGTCCAGGTGATAGTTGACGATGCAAGCCAGGGACTGCCGGTGGGCTTCCCGGCTGGGCACCAAGCGGTAACGGCTGATGACTGTCACTGTGCCATTGGGGTTCCGAATTTCCTGGTACTCTGCCTCGCCCTTTAGCCGCGTTTCCCAGGACACCACACTGGGAGGCTTCCCGTTGGCTGAGGTGCAGGTGGCCACCAGGACCTTGTCATCCTGTCCCTTCCTGGCTCGAAGCACTGCATGGGTACCCTCGATCCAGTTGGTAGGTTTGGCTGTGGGCACAATACTATAGCATTAGTTGAAGTTGCCCGTCACCCCTGCCTCTCAGCTGTGCTTTGCCAAAGCCCTTTCCAGAATTTCCCTTGGGAAGTGCCTCATGCCAGCAAATCCTTCTTGCTGCACGAACAGCCCTGTTTTTAGACTTCCTAGAGTCTTGGCATGATCAAGCCAAGCAGTTTCCTTCCTTACTACGGTGTCCCATGTACCTGCCTGTGTCCTAGTCTCCAATACAATGTCCCTTAGTGGAGGCTTCAACCTAAATACTGCCCCTGCCCAATGCTAAGTAAGACCCCATCCCCAATCTTGGGAATTGTGGACAGTCTGGCTAGTCAAGTGAGAGGCACTTGGCTATGGGAACATGCCAACCTAACAGGGGTGTCTGGGGCCACTGGGGCACATGCTAAGAATGGTCAACCCCTTTAGACAGGCAAGGGAAAGAGGCCCAGGGCATCTTACCCATCACAGTGAGATTGAGCTGGCTCTCACGGTTGCCTGTAGGAAAGGTGGCAAATTCACAGATGTACATGCCCTCATCCTCCAGCTCCAGGCGGGAGAGGCGGATGGTGCCATCAATGAAGGAGGGTCGCAGGAACTCCACTCGTTTCTCATAGGGAGGCAAAACAGAGACGCCCATAGTTGGGTTGTAGATGGCCATGTTCTGCTTGGAGCCATTGGTGGACTTCTGCCACGTGACCTGGGTAATCTTCACACTGGGCAGTGGGTTGGCAAAGCTACAGTGCAACACCACGTCTGTGCCGATGAAGCCGTACATGGAGTCGTTCACCTGCACCATCTGCGTGTGAGTGCCTGGTGGACGGGAAGATAGGAAATGGTCAGTGGTCAGTGACAGACACTTACCAGTCTCTGTCCTTTGGTCTTAACTTTTACAGCAGTCATTTCTTTTATGAAAATAATACTGGGTCTGGTGGTTTGTGCCTAGAGTCCCAGCACTTGGGAGGCTAAGCAGAAAGATTGCTATGGGACTTTGAGGCCAGTCCAGGTTTCGTAGTAAGGTCCAGGACAACCTGAGACACAAATGAAACTCATTTAGAATCCCCCCAAAATGAATCAATTAATTACCTGATATAAAAACCACCTGCTAAGGTGGCTCAGTGGGTAAAGACATTGTTCACCAAGAATGATGACCTAAATTTGATCCCCAGAACTCACACAATGGAAGAAGAGTCCCCTTTAAATTGTTCTCAGACCTCCATGTACCCACCACAGCTACACACATATACATAAAATAAATGAATTTAATAATAAAATCTCACTCTAGATAATTCTGAAAAATACCAAGAAGACAATGGCATCATTCACTTGTAGCTCAGAATGGCCCTGGATTCAGGATCCTCATATCTCAGATCCCTTCCCCTCCCCTGAGACATGGTTTCTCTGTGTAGCCCTGGCTGTCCTGGAACTCACACTGTAGATCAGGCTGGCCTTGAACTCACAGAAATCCACCTGCCTCTGCCTCCTGAATGCTGGGATTAAAGGTGTGTACCACCACCAGCCGATGTCTCAGTTTCCTGAGTGCTGTGATTCTCTATTAATGCCACTACAATGCCTGGCTACTATTTGTGGGGTTTTTTTTGTTTGTTTGTTTGTTTTTGCATGTGTATTACACATGCACATGGGGGTCTGAGGTTGATGCTAACTAGCTTCCTCAATTACGTTCTACCATATTTTTCTTTCTTTGGTCAGGGTCTTACTATCTGGCTGGCCTGGAATTCGCTGTGTTAACCAGGCTGGCTTCGAATTTGCAGAGATCTGCTTGCCTCTGTCTCCTTTGCGCTAGAATTAAAAGGCATGAGCTTCTCTGCCTTATATTTTTAGGTAAGATCTCTCAGTTGGACCCAGATGGTGTTAACTTGGCTAGCCAGATTGCCCCGGGGATCCCATCTTTGCCTCCTAGGCAGGCAACTATGCCCATCTGGCACCTGTGCAGGCGCTATGGCCCTAAAGCTTTTATGGCATGCACTTTACCCAGTGAGCCATCTCCCTAGCTCTCTCTATTTTTTTTTTTTTAAAATTAGAATCATACTGTACAGATTGTCCAAATGGTGCTTTTCACTTAGTGATGTGGGTCAGTGTTCCATGTTAGTAACATACATCCACATGCTAGTTTATCCCTCTCGTTCTGTGGATGGAGACAACATGCCTGGTAAGTCTTCCACTACGGAGCTACATTCAAGCTCTGCCTTCCCTTGCCCGCCCCCCCAAATGTCTCTGAAGGCAGTTTTTGACTACATAGTCAAGTCTGATCTTAAACTAACCACCTTCCCGCCTCAGCCTCCAGAATTTTACGATATAAGGGGTGGCACCTTACTAACTTAGCAAGCTGTTGTTTTGTTTGAGGGTCGAAAGCTCTGCTATCCAAGCAGAACTCTAGCTGAGAGCTTTCCTGGGCTTTGGTTCCCTCATCTGACAAATGAGCCAGATAATCCAGTCTTCTCTACCTCACCCGTTGCTGGGGAACCAAACAGCATACAGGTAAGAAACGACAAGGGGGCAGGGGCAGGAACTGGAGAAGGTGCGAAGGTGCACAGATGCACGGCAGCGAGAGGGCCCCTCCCCTTCAGCTCCTGTGAGGAACCCACTCAGGCCCTTTTGTTAGGAAGCTCCCAGTCCGATCTTCCAGGTTCCTCCCAGTACAGCCTCCCTGTCTCAGAATACGGCTGTGTATACCCACTTCTCTCTTGGACTAGGAACTCTTGCAGGGAGTTCTTTCCCTTCCTGAGTCTCCAAAGCCCAGGCCAGCTCAGCATCTGGCTTACATAGCAGGCTTCCGTGTTTTCTTTTCTCTAGTGTAGCAAATATTTATTGCTGGGCAAACTGCAGTGGTAGTCAGGAGAATGGAGACTCCCAGGAAGGGCAGTGGGTGGCAAGGCATAAGTTCCCTCCAGTCTCCACATCTACAGAGTTCTTGCTTTTGAGATCCTTAGCTGGAGACAACCACCCCTGCCCTCCACTTCTGTCCACCTCTGAGTCTGTCCTGTGATTGACGAATGCATACATTTGTGTTCTTTATACCCCACATCTTCATTTTACTGAGTACCATCAGTACCTCTGCTGATGCAGAGGCAGGAGGATGGCTTTGAGAGGTCTGGGATCCAAGAGTGGGGAGCTGGGGCTTCCCCTTGCCTCCTCTGTGTGATGGAGAAGTGGAGGTTCTTGGGAAGGCTCCAAAGCCCACGGTCAGTTCAGCACATTGCTTCCCATCCCGCTCTTCCAGAAATCACATTGACTGTGGGATCTTAGGGGCTTATACTGTATACAACATGCTCTCAGGAAATGCATGCTGGGATGTGCTTGTAATGTTAGCCTTCGGGAGTTAGAGTCAGAAGGTCTTAAGTTCAAAGCCAGTGTGGACTACTATTGAGACCTTGGGAGGCATGTGTAGGTAAGGAGGAAAGGAGAGGTGTGTGTGTGTGTGTGTGTGTGTGTGTGTGTGTGTGAGAGAGAGAGAGAGAGAGAGAGAGAGAGAGAGAGAGAGAGCGAAGAAATATGCTGTTGGCTTTCCCAAGCCATGTCCCTGACATGGAGAATTTAATACATATCCCCATTCTTTCTGCCATTCACACTAGAGTCTTAACGAGTACGTTGAGTGTTCCTGCCCCCCACCCTGCCCCCACTGGCCCTTGGAAGTACCAGACACCTCAAGCAGTTGGGGGCTGGGGGAGCTGTGAGACAGGTGAGGAGGGAGTATGGCACATAGGTGGGGGCTGAATTTCCGCCGACCCGTGAGACCCTAACAGTCATTTCCCTTGCCTCTGTAAAGGAGCAGGCTGGCTGCCTGGGTCTCCCTACCCTTCTGGCTCTAACTGTCTCACAGCAACCCCGTCCACACCCTACCCAGAAGCAGCCTGAGAGGAGGTCAGTGGGTCAGATGGTCTAGCACTCTTGCTGACTGGTCAGCTGGCGAGCAATTAATTCTTCCATCCTCCCTGACAGGATAAATGGGTGCTCCCTGATGCTCCTCCAGCCTACACTCCCCAAGCCTGCTGGAGGCTGCCCAGCAGCTGAGATAATGTGGGCATAATTGGGGAACTTGCGCCACATAAAGCCAAGAACTGGAAAAGCCAGTTGGGAGGGCTTGGGCCACAACGTGAGAGTTGGGGGAAGGGGCATAGGTATCAGGAAGCATGTTGGTGCTAGGTATGGTGGGCCTGGAGGAACACTACCGAGTCCCACTACCCCATCTCCTCTCATCCCTTCTGCAGTTGTGGGACAGGCGGGGGGAGGCCCTGATGCACAGACTGATTGATATTCCCGTGCTGTTTCCCAAGCAGTGACCTCACCCTTCAGGGATAAGTTGGTGCCAGGAGGGGAGGTTGCTGCTGATGCCCCATGTAAGCTGGGGAGGTTTCTGTGCCAAAGCAGGTGTGTGTGTGTGTGTGTGTGTGTGTGTGTGTGTGTGTGTGTCTTCCCTACCTAAGTCTATGCTGGATAGAAGCCATTTTTCTCTCCTCTGGGTTCTCCCAAAAGCAGCTTCATGGCGTAGAGAGAAGCATTCCTGGTGTCCCCTCATTGTTCACAAAGGCATTTCTGGTCCTTTCTGGCCCTGCAATGGACTGGCTGGGGACATGACGACCTGTCAGTAGTAGGCATGCTCACATTTACTCTTGGCATCTGTCATGACTGGCTATTAACAGAGCCTAGGAGGTAGTCCACGGGTGGCATGTGGGGCTCCTGAAGTATTAAGGGTAAAGCCCCCAGTGTCTTGGAGTTGAGAGGGGAAGATTAGCACAATTAGGCCCTGCTTCAACATTCTAGCCTAAGGGACCCGGTTCCCAAGCTTCTGTGGGGGCTCCCTGGCTTGGACTAAGCATGCCAAATCAGATCTAAGTATCTAGCTCTTAGGCTGGGTGGCTTTCCAAAGAGAAAAGAGCTCACCCTTGAATATGGAGAGGAGGGGCTGGGTGGAAAGCCTGAGAAAAGGAACAGGATTGGTGGGTGCCTGCAGGGGCAGGTGTCAGGAAGGGAGGTCTTGAATATGCTCCGTTTTCTCCATGCCTGCTCCAGCTTCACGGTCTGGAAAACAACATGGGTGGCTCCCAAGCTCTGCACGGCCTTTCTGGCACCCCTATTTGAGGTGTGTGATGGGATTGGGAAGAGTCTGCAATATGAGTTTGCATTCTGCCGCTGCGCCTTCCAGTGGGCCAATGACTCGACCTCTCTGCGACTCAGTTTACACTGGGGGTACATATCTGCAAAATGGGCGTCCTAATAGCTAATGCCTGCCTTATAAAACTGCTGTAAGAATGAGATGAAGGCGTACACAGGACACTCAGAAAGCAGCATCAGCACAAAATAATCAATGCTGTTGCCGCCATCATTGTCGTTGTCATCATCACCAACAACACTATCTGTGAAGCAGTAGGCCTCCTTTTCTGGAACTTCAATCAACAGATGTTTACTGATTATCTGCCTGGCACGAGGCAGTGAACGGGGTGCTACAGGCCCCCTTTTCTGGGACACCAAGGTGATTCTCATTCCTGAATTTCTGGTGGGCACTTCTACTAGGAACTCAATGACATATCACCATGCAACTGTACCCATTACTATTTCCTGCACATGTGTGGAGTCTCTATCCTGTCACTCAAGGGATGTCTAGCTATCATGGGAAAAGCAGGGATGTCCTTGACCTTGGGCTGCTTTGTTGATCACATTACGTCTGCCATGGTAGACAGCACAGTTTGGGGAATCTGCTGACTCTCTGGTTACCTGAGCAATAAGAAAGTACTCTTCCCCTGCAGATTATAGACTAGTGCTTATGACATGGTAGTGCATGAGGGCTCAATGGA